AATAATAGGGGAACATTCTTTTTAGTTTTTTTTTTTTGGAACTATAAGATAACGTTCCCAGAACGTTGCATGGTTGCATCTTTTCACAATATTATCCATGGATGGTGAAAGACCTAACTTCTTTGCATTGAGAAATGCAATTATGTCATTAAATTTGGCACAGAGTAATGAGCCATGATCCAGCTTTCCTGGAAAAAACTGAGATGTCCCTTTTACACCCAATCACGATCCCCTCACCTATTACCAATTCACCAGCTTATTGAAACAAAACTGTTGAACATGGATATTCATAAAGTTTGCTGCTTGTTTCTTTGAGTTAATTCAATTATGTTGTTTTATTATTTTATTGAGACCAAACACAAAGATAAATAGCTATTATATACTTATATAATACATAGGAGATTATAATAAAGACTGTTTCTTCATGGTTATGTATCTGGATAAATAGAATTCATGATTCAGGTCATTAAATGTGTATGTATATATGATAATTCTAAAGAGACCTTTGATTCGTGCCTTCATTAATGCAGACTCAGGTTTAACGACTCGCAAGAGGTTTTTAAGTGCCACTGATCAGTAGGCAAAAACATTTTTGAGTGTTTTATAAGTTTCATCTCTGACTGACTGACTGTTTCTGTTTGTTCATCAGGTGTGTTTGGTGAGTCAGTGTCAGTGATGGAGGGAGATTCTGTCACTGATGTTACTGAAATATTAAAAGATGAAGAGATTGAGTGGAGGTTTAATGACACTCGCATAGCTGGAGTGATTGAGAACAATGTTACGTATGAGGATGTGCAATTCAAGGACAGACTGCAGCTGGACATTCAGACTGGAGATCTCAAGATCACAAACATCAGAATCACAGACTCTGGACTCTATAAGTATGTGATCTTCAGCCCCAGAATGACCTCAGAGAAGACATTCAGTGTCATATGTGAGTGTTTCAGTTTTTAATTTAATAACTGTTATTTATATTTTCTTTACTAGACAAGACTCGATGATCTCTGTTAAATCTGTTTAGTGACTGTTCTAAAAGCGATGACTGACAGAGCAACGGTTTGTTCTTCAGGTGTGAGTGATACTGGAGTGAAGTCAGTGTCAGTGCTGGAGGGAGATTCAGTCACTCTACACACTGATGTTCCTGATATACAGAGATATGACGTGATACAGTGGAGGTTTGAACAGGAGGAATCTCATATAGCTGAAATCAATAGAACAGCTGGAATCTTCAACACATTTAATAGTGCTGATGGGAGATTCAGAGACAGACTACAGCTGGATCATCAGACTGGATCCCTGACCATTAAGAAGACTGAAACCAATCACTCTGGACGTTATGAGGTTGAGATCAGCAGCAGCAGAAGCAAACACACCATACACAAGTCATTCACTGTGACTGTCAGTGGTGAGTAACTCAATGTAATAATGAATTTATTTAAATCAGCAGCACTGTATGAGTAGTTCAGATGAAAATTAACACGTTTGCACTGAATTAAATGTTTAAGGCAAAGAAAGAATACATTTGTGGGGCTGTTAGTTTAGTAACCGTGTTCCTCAAACTCTAGAGCATTATGCTGAGTATTATAGCAACAAAAAAAGTCCATAGTCAAGAACAGGCAGAAAATCAGTAACGTGGCATACAAAGAAAGCGTCAGAAACGCTCGGTAAGGACAGGGTAAACTGGCAATACTTCTCAACATGATGCCCAAACAACATGGCTTATAACAGATAACAGGAACAGGAAGAGAAGCACGAAGAACTGGCAGTATTCAGTACTCAGCAGATGGCTCCCTCTGGCGGTAGGAGGAATGGATGGCGGAAGCAGATAATATTACATTACAAATGTCCTCTTAGACCTGAAATGTGCCTTTTGACCAGTAGAATTTACATTTCAGCTGAGATTTCACAACACTTTGAGATTTGATAGTTGAAGTTAATTAATTAAAGCGGTCATATGATGCTTTTTAAAAGATCATTATTTGGTGTAACAGAATATGTTGACATGCTTTAATGTTCAAAAAACACATTATTTTTCAAATACTGTACATTATTGTAGGTCCTCTATGTCCCGCCTCTCTCAAACGCTTCGTTTTCTACAAAGTCCCTCCTTCCAACAAGCGCAGTCTGCTCTGATTGGCCAGCTGACCCAGTGCATTGTGATTGGCCGAACACCACAAGCACTCGTCGGAAATATAACGCCCCTTACCGTAATCGCGAGCTTCAACTTTCAAAATAAATGTAAAGACAGAGCCTGAAAGGGGAACAGAGTCGCGTGACAGTCTGAGTAGCTGTTCCTCAGTGTTTTTCATGTGTTGATACAGGTGAAATAAAAACAGTATTAGTTATAGAGGGAGGTTCTGTCACTCTACGCACGGATACTGACAAAATGGATGAAGAAAGAGTGTTTGGAGACATCTCTGAAGGACATTTTTCTGCATATGGTAGTCCTGATGAAAAATTCAAAGACAGACTGAATAATGTCACAGCTAGGCCGATCACACATGGTGAGTAACTCAAGTCTATTAAACCTGTATCATGTCTTGTAATGTTCTTATTCAAATCAGTCCTGTGTCCAGTCCAAACACATGCTGTAGCATCCAGTAATACAGAAGATGAAAACATTATAATCGCTGAAATTACAATGGATGTTCTCTCTTGCTGTTTTGTGATTCTTTTTAAACAGAATCTGATTCATATTTACTATGTTTTAGCCAAGTGCAATTTGTCAAAGTGTCCCATGTTATAGTTCAGACTGACAGATTCACTTACACTAATGACTGTCTGTCTTTATCTGTTCCAGATTCAGGTCTGTCTTCCAATTGGATAATAGGAATATGTGCTGCTGTTGTTATTGTTTTGGTGGTGGTTGCAGCTGTTTCTATGATTTGTGGTTGGTGCAAAATGTTGCTGTGCTGGTGGTAAGACAACTAACAGCAGTGCTCCAGACTAGCATTTGAGAGCAGTGGCACCAGTGCCACATATGGCTCTTTTCCACTGCATGGTACGACTCAGCTCGGCACGGCTCAGTAAATTCTACAGATGGTGGCGCCAGAAGCAGATTTAGTGGTGCTGGGGGGTGGTGTGTGGAGGATATTAAAAATAAAGATAATTTAATCATAAAATTACTATTGTTTTGCATTCATATGTGCCATTACTAATAATGTTTATTTCTTGGTAATGCACATTTGACAGTAAAGCACTAAGCTTGAGTTGAGAAGCATACAAAATTAATTAAATGTACCATTATTCTTCTATAGCAGGGGTCACCAAACTTGGACCTATAAATTACAATTTTACTTGTGATAATTAAACTAGAAATATATCTAACTGAATTACCACTAGTAAAAATTGTAATTAGAGATATCTTTAACTGGTGTTTGACTAGTCATAATCAAATTTAAGATAGCTTTAATTCATAATTTTTTAACATTTCCAAAATACATTATTAGATATCTGAAAATAATTTATTACTAGTCAAATTAGCCTACAGGATAGATATCTTGGATTTAATTTTTGACTAAGCAAAACTCCTCCTAGTCAAAACTCATTTAAAGATATCTGCAATTTAATTATGGATATCTCAATCTGCTTTTTGACTAGGAAGATCTTTCTCTGGAGATGTCTGCATTTAGCTTTGCGACTAGGAGGAATTTCAATGTCGATATCTGGAATTAACAATGTGACTAGTCAAAATTCCTTTATAGATATCTAAAATGTGCATGCAAATACAGCTTTGTTAACCCTCACCTTAAACATTTCATTAACCAATCCTAGCTTGGAAACGGTTGTCTTCCGCAATTTTGTCTAAAAATTGTATAATAAAGTTCCTGCATCTTTGGTTAATTTTAAACTGCCTTATACCCAAGTAATTCAAAATAAAGCTTGTGCACGAGTAAAAGTGACATAAGGTATGCAGAGAACACTCAATCTACACACAATGTAATGTACTCATCAATATCATCAGTACATGTTAAAGGGGTCATATGATGTTGCTAAAAAGAACATTATTTTGTGTATTTGGTGTAATGCAATGTGTTTATGCGTTTTTTAGGTTCAAAAAACACATTATTTTCCACATACTGTACATTATTGTTTCTCCTCTATGCCCCGCCTTTCTGAAACGTGTCGATTTTTACAAAGCTCATCGTTCTGAAAAGCGAGGTGTGCTCTGATTGGCCAGCTATCCAGTACGTTGTGATTGGCCGAATACCTCAAGCGTGTGACGGAAATGTCACGCCCCTACCATATTGTGATGCTGTCTCCTGGTGTTCTAACAAATAATGCTACCTATCCGATTATGCTACCAACACTGTAAAGTGTAGGTTTAGGGTTGGGGTAGGTGTACATAATAAAGGATTTTGCTTCCGAATTATGCTGCCATCTGTTTTAATGGGAGGTAGCAAAATCTGACAGGGTAGCACAAATCGTCAGAACACCGGCGCGATCAGGCAAAGCCAATAAAACCCATTATAAACGAGGCATTTGTTGCATCCAGTGGGGACATAATTATGGATTATAATGACTTATACTGTCTTTTTACGCGTTGCGTTGCATCGCGCCATGTAAACATAAAACCATGTCTGCATTTGTGATCGGAGAAATGACAAACAACAAGCTCTACTCTACACTGCTCAAAACTTGCGTTTGAATCATCAGTGGCAAATTCTTTCAATATAAAAAACATACTTACAGTCTGTGAGTCAGAACAGCCGGCATTGTAGTCTACTCTCCCAGGATCAGGAAACAGTCCTCCATAAAATGTGCAGCACACATCTGAATATTTGGGTTGAAGTGTTCTGGAACAGTGTTGTAAATACAACTTAACCACTGATTTCTAGTTGTGTCCTCTTTTGGAAGACCAAACAAAGTAGTTTCGCTTTCACAACGAAACACACAGCGTCTTCACAACATGGCGGTGGCAGCAACAATAAAGTTACGCCTTCCTTCTTTGCGTGAACATTTGGGCGGTGTTATGCAAATCTTCCCACATCATGACATAGATATGTGGGGGCGTGTTAGAACGAGCCGTTTTAGGTAGGCGTGGTTGACTCTTAACTTTTATAAAGAATATCTCTTTGGGTTTGAGACTTTAGTCTTTGCAACTTTAGGGATCTCATCTATTCACGAACAGGTTGTAACACTCCAAAGAGAAATGACAAATTGTAATCGCATCATATGACCCTTTTAATGCCAGTTAAATTTTTATTACCTTGTAATCTTTTTTTAAATCAGCCTTCTCCTTTTTGACTGGGTCTGTCCTGATTCTAAAGCATTAGTCTTGTCCATCACTCTTTTTTTTTTTTTTTTACTATTCATGTTTTTGGTGTACACTTCCATTGTTCTTCACATGTCTTTTCCAAATATATAATAAAAAAAATCAGACGAGCAGTTTGCGGTTCTCTTTATTGAACACTGCACTCCAGTTTGTCCATTTTGCGGCATGATTTAAATTCACACAGTGCTACATACAAGCATCCGGGAGAACTTTTACCATATGAATGCATCCAGATATTATTTAAGTGAACTTAAATGTTATCCGAAAGATATGTTCTGAAGTGAATCGGATGTGAATGTAGAAGTAAATCATATCTGAATTTGTAAATGTGAATTTAGAGTGACTTGTATTCATGCCGAAGCACTTAAATTAGCCTTTGATCTTAAAAACGAATCATTTCTGTCCTCTAATATAAAAAAAATTAAATAAATAAGTAAAACTTTGTGAAATGGTCATACTAATGTTCATACTACAGATCTTTAGAGTAGATTGAATCTGACCAGATACAGTTGAGAAAAACAACTTAAAAACTAAAATTATTCTCTAGTTGTGTTAGACATAATAATGGTTTCATGGTAAATTGGAATATTGCATGTTAGCGACAATTTAAGAAAAGTACAGCCTGGACAAGTGCTGCATTTTGCTCAAGCCTAGAAAAGGCTTCATATTTGCACTTCATCTTAACGAACACCAGAAGGCAGTAGAATTTTTAAATAAAGCTTTGATTAAAGAACCCAAATTTATACACATTTTTATAATAAGGCCTCATTGCTTATTGTAATTTGTGGATAAAACACTATGAACACTCACAATGAGACTGGTATTATGTTGAAATTAATCAGTGAGCGAATCTAAAGTACTTGTTTCAGTGAACAGATTAAAAAAACAAAATGAAAAAATTAGTCTATGAAGTCTATAAAATATTTTAAAAAATCTATTTTAAAAAATGGCAAAAACTACACAAAAGTACACACTTAACTGACGCTGTAATTGAAATACTTCCATATTCAGACACAAGGGGGAGCTAAAGGACTGTCTCGGCTTTAGGAAGGAAGCGGAATGGTTTGCGGATCGCATACACCCATATTTTATTCACAATAGATCAGAGAAAACATACCAAATGTTTAAACTGAAGAAATGTACCATTTTAAGGAAACAATAAGGCCTTTCGCACCGCGGGAAACTTTTCATAGTACCAGAACTTATTGTGGAACTACCCACTTTTTGGCGTTTTTCGCACCGCCGGAACCCAATTAGCTCCTACTCCGGAGCAGGGTCTAACCAGCACAACTGGTACTAATCGTGACGTAAGTAGACATTGATTGGCCAAACGCATACGAAAACGCCCTCACCCGCCATGATTTAAAACGCAGTGTAAACATACTGTAAACATTGTGTCAACTTATTTCGCAAGTATGGAGAACAGCGATAGATGGACGGATGCTGAAGTGCAGGCACTTGTAGCAAATGTAGCACTGCCAGTTGTCGTTGGAGATTGATTCTTAGTCCTCCTTTCCGTTCTTTCAATCGCTTTACGTATACGTCGGCATTCCATGTCCATTATTGTGCTCCGATCACAGCGTCCTCCATCCTCCTGTTGTTAATGTTGTTCTTCTTTGTTTCTGTTGTTGAACGCCACGCACAAATGACGACGCTGTCGACCGGCTTACGTCACTTCTTAGTACACACTGTCGGTGCGAATGCTACCCTTTAAATGGTACTTGGAAATAGTTCACTCAAAATTGCCCCAGTACTTTAGTACTGTACATTTAGTTCTGGAACTAAAGCAGTGCGAAAGGCCCTATTAAGGCAATTTAGAACATCCCAGCCCAGAGCCTCTAGCTCAGGGATGCCCAACCCTGCTCCTGGCGATCGACTGTCCTGCAAAGTTCAGCGCCACCCCTAATCAAACACACCTGAAGCAACTAATTAGGGTCTTCAGGATCACTTAAAAATTAAAGGCAGGTGTCTTTGATTAGAGTTGGAGCTAAACTTTGCAGGACAGTCGATCGCCAGCGGATTGGCCGGAGAGAATCGTCACTACCTGCGTCACTGAACTTGCGAAACAAACACAAAAGAACAGCTAGATTTAAATCAGCACAGCCAGCGAAGGATCGAACCCAACTGTTTTGAACGAGCGCACCTTTTTTTAACAACCAAAAAGTTTTGTTGTCTGTTGCGGAAGTACAGACGTTCCTCTCGTTGATTGCAGAGGAGTGGATCCAGCGAGAGCTTGATGGGGCGACGCGGACTGAAAAAGCTTGAGTCGTGGTAGTAGAGGCGGCGCAACTATAACGACATGTGAATAATCCCGCCCACTGTAAAGCAGTACTGAACTGCAGTGGAAACGCAAACCATGCCGAGCCGAACCATGCTGTGCCGTACTGAGCCGTACCGAGCCGAGTCGTACCACGCAGTGGAAAAGCGCCATAAGTTGCCTGTCTGTTCTCCACCCAACTCATAGAACCTGTCTGTTCTCCACCCTGCCTCCCAAACTGACTGAATCACTTCCTTGTAAATCTGCCAGTCCCATGGTGTGGGTTTGACACAAGATAAGAGAGTCCGCTATCTGATTGTATGACTGGGAAGTTATGTATACATCCGCCCATTTCCAAAGACTGTTTGCCAATTTTAGGAGGCTCTGAGATTCTCTGGGGGTCCACCCCCCTTGGTGGGGACCTCCCCTATGTCTGGCCTTTAGCTGATGTCGAAAATATTGAAGCACTAGCCATGCTGCCTTCATTCTAAGGAGGTTGATGTGCTACGGCGTGCTCTGCCACACACCCCTCACTTTCTGGTGTCTCCTCACAGCTCCCCAGCCTTGCAGAGACAACTTCCCATCCTACAGGAAGGACTCCCAAAGGAACACCCCAGAGGGGAAACAGTCACTGTCACCAAAACATGTTTTTGGGTCATGGCGGACAGGCGTTTTAAATTTTTTATTTGAAAAGGTCTGAGATGCAACATCCAGCTAGATGGAGGTAATCTACACATGATAGGTGCCTGCCCATTCAAAACTTTCCAACTGTCTTTGCAATTGCCTAAGATCTGACTTCTGTCAAAGTAGCTTGAATGGCGCATGAGTGGACCCTCATGCCAATGAACTGATCAGGCAAATGGTAGTTTCCTGATCCTGGGAGAGTAGACTAAAATGCCGGCTGTTCTGACTCACAGACTGTAAGTATGTTTTCATAATTAAAGAATTTGCCACTGATGATTCAAACGCGAGTTTTGAGCAGTGTAGAGTAGCGCTTGTTGTTTGTCATTTCTCCGATCACAAATGCAGACATGGTTTTATGTTTACGTGGCGCGATGCAACGCAACACGTAAAAAGACAGTATAAGTCATTATAATCCATAATTATGTCCCCGCTGGATGCAACAAATGCCTCGTTTGTAATGGGTTTTCATGTTTTTGAATCATCGCTCCGGCCGGACAGGGCACAATATGGCAGGGGCGTAACATTTCCGTCACACGCTTGAGGTATTCGGCCAATCACAACGCACTGGATAGCTGGCCAATCACAGAACACCTCGCTTTTCAGAATGATGAGCTTTGTAAAAATCGACACGTTTCAGAAAGGCGGGGCATAGAGGAGAAACAATAATGTACAGTATGTGGAAAATAATGTGTTTTTGTAAACTTTAAACCGCATAAACACATTTCATTACACCAAATACACAAAATAATGTTCTTTTTAGCAACATCATATCACCCCTTTAATGCTGACACAACCATGTTATTAGCTTGTCATGTGGTAGGAAAAAAGTTTGCACACTAGTGTTCCAATAAGCCACTTTTAAACTCTCCTGTTATTTTATTTATTTAATATGTTATGAACAGAACTGTGATATTTCAAACATACTAAAATACTTTAGCAGCGGGGTGACAGTCATTTGTTAATGACTGTCCTCCTACAGGATTTAACACAGACAGCTCACTACCAGTTACAAAACACACTGTAACAGTCTGTCACAGGCATTTCTAGTTGCATTTTTCATCAATTAATTTCTTAAATTATCCTTTGACTCAGACATCTCAGATTATCAGACATCTAGTGGCGAAATATTTTTTTGGGCCCGATGCCAAACTTACTTGCCGACCCCTGCCCTAGGCTAAATGGCTAAAAAAGTTTTCCTTTCCTTTGCTTTTCTTGCATATCCTATAGGTTCTTTTGTGATGAGTCATGAACTAGGTTAACTAAATATGCCAAAAACATCTTGGAATGGTGCGGCAGTGGAAACTCTTCATCGACTGTGCTAAAGAGGATGGGAAATGTCTTACTGATGACAGCTTAATGATCATTGGTTTAAACAGTCCTGATGTAGCCTATCGAACAGTGTTATATATTTTGTTGACTTGTGTACTTACATTATCCCAAATGTTTCAAAGAATGTTTGAATACAGAGAAATAGTTATTTTGACAAGTGTAACGGACCGTGTCAATAGGCTTGTTTGAGATGCGCCTCGCCTCAGCTGAAATGTAGGCAAGAGTAAGAGCAGGCAAGACAGACAGTTCTGACCTCTCGAAGTGGAACAGATACCTACGAGATCAAAGGCAGATATCGCGTTATTCACACTCATGTGCTGTGCTGCTGATAAACGTGATATGATTTCAGTTCTGTTGCTTTTATATTAAAATAGACATGATAAACAAGACCCCCAAAGTGTTTGCTATTTAATTCCATACGAAAGGCGTATTTATCATCCATTTTTACTTTAATACAAACAACACGATTTTTACTGGGGGGACCTGGCAACCCTGGCAACCCTGCAGCAGACAGAGCTGTCGGCGATTCTTCCTATTGTAAAGTCATGCAGTGTGTAACCTCCTGTCGTCATTCCATCGTGCATTGTGAACACAGCAGCAAATATACCCCAGATAGTCGTTCAGTGTGAAACCAACAGTGATGCGACGTCTTTGAAAATCGTGCAGTGTGAACTCGGCATAAGCAAGTCAAGTCGAGTCCTGATAAGTTTCAAGTCAAGTCAAGTCAAGTCAAGTAGCAGTACTAAAATATATAGAGGGGATAAATTATGGATAAATTGATAGTCACCACATTATTCTCATACGAACAGACAACTAAACAAAATAGTATGTAATGTACTAGAGGTTCTGGCAAAATGTTAATTGCTGCAGTCAATTTTTTTTTTTTTGTATTATTGCAAAATCTGCACCTCTTCTGTAGCAAATTTAAATTTCATAATGATTATTACTCAGTGAAGTCAAGCAGCAGAAGTTAAGTGACAATATGCAAATACTACTGGCCCATTTTGGGGTGAACTAAATATACAAGACTAGTTTTACACGTCACTGTTTATAACACGTCATGGGGCATAAATTAAGAGTATACCCACTTCTCCAGGCACCACTACACCACTGGTTTTAGCCATCACAATTGTCCAGGTGGTTGAGTTGGGCAGCAGGGCTGGAATGAGTGGATTTCTTCTGCTTTTTGTGGTGTAAGAACAGCCCAGTTTCATCACCTTTGATTTGCTCTTCTTCATCCCCATGACATGTGCGTTCCATATTGGTATGCTCTGCCTCCTGGAGAATCAGATCTAAAACACAAAAATGTAAAATTACAAATAAACCTACACAATATTCTAGAGCTGCATGATTAAAGATAAATTGAGAATCATGTTTTTTTTTTTTCATGATTCTCCCACAATTTTAAATAGACAATTAAACTCAATTTCATGTAATTTACTAAATGTTCTGACAAAATAGTCTATTTAAAAATATTTAATTTGAATGAATTTTTTTAAGTTGTTAGAAACTGAATAAATGATTCAATGTCTCAGTCAAAAAGGCTTCACTAGTTTCATTACTGGATGAATCAGTGTTTTTGAAGAATCGCTTGAATGAATCATTTAATGACAAACAGTCACTTGTTGCCACCTACTGATGTAACAATGTAACTGACAGAAACTTTATTTGAAGCGTCAAGTTACTTCCAAAAGTAACTATTTTATCGCTACTGTAGATATCAGTGTTTATATCCGAACTACAAACTTTTATCTCAGTATTTCTGTGATGATTTGATTGATTGTAACATTTTTTTCTACTGCAAAGTTTCTGTATTTCTATTTCTTATGTATGCATGATAACCAGTGTTGGGGAAAGTTACTTTTAAAAGTAATGCATTACAATATTGTGTTACTCCATAAAAAAGTAACTAATTACGTTATTTAGTTACTTTTTATGGAAAGTAACGCGTTATGTACAGTAGAATGCAGAAGAAGAAATTTCAACACACTTCAGCAATAAAAAACACAAATGTTTGTCTAGAGTAATTTGTGCTTATTAGTACGGTTGAACTGGATCATCGAAGATCAGAAGCAAAGACATTGGTTAATAGAATGGGATTAAATGCATAAAGGATATTTGTGTTGTTTAACATTTAATTATTGCAGGTTTGCGTCATATTCTGAGTTGCATTATTTTTAATCATTTTAAATTAGTTACTTTTTCATGAAGTAATGCAATATTGTAATGCATTACTTTTAAAAGTAACTTTCCCCAACACTGGTGACCACTAGGAGTTCTTTGGCTGCATGAGAAAGATGTAATACCATGAGGTTGTCTGCAGTGTTGCCAAATGCCTTCAATGAAAATTAGCCAAAGCCTGCTTGAAAAGTCATTGAATGTCGCTAGATGACATCATGGGCTAACTAGCATATTCATCACGCCGTATTCTTTTCATTTTATAGTCTATTCCTATTTTAACACAGCCAAACTCCCAGGAAAACTGTTCTCACCGATGTATTTTTTGTGTTTCTGTTGTCACACATCGTGATCCATTAAGACAATATCCAGTCACTTCCATGCTCTGCTCTGCTAAAATCCAGATTTATGAACAAGACATCATCTGACAAAATCACCATAAGTTAAAGATAACGGTAGTGCTGTGATTTCAGCTATATTCACACATGAAATGAGAACGAGAGAAGAGAGAAAATGTTATGTAGCCTAATGTCTGCCTTATTTTGATTTTTAAAAATCATCAAATATTGCCAAAATAACTCCTTGTCTCAAAACATTGATAAAAGTCGCAGTAACAATGAGGAAGTCTCTTAATTTGGTGATAAGATCCCCAAACTGGCAACTCTAGATGTCTGTGAGGCTGCAAGACATTAAGAAAAGTTCTGGCAATGCATAGGCTATAAAAGAAAATTGTGGATACAAGAGGATGCCTTATGATATTGGAAAAAAGAGAGAGCACATGAAGGGGGAAGAAAATAATCTGACCTATGAGTCATGCACCGGCAAATTATCAAGGAAATATCTGACAGTGAAGACCCTCGAAGGGTCCCACCCACGTGGTCTCTTCAGCGCCTGAGCTTAATTTGGAAGAGTTACAACAAGCAAATGCCACCCATTTGGTGGAATGGCTTAAGTAATGTTTTAATACTAAATTAATGTCAGGTTGTTGTTGTAAATGCAAATCAGATGAACCAAACTTGAGTTTCTTTGTCTTAATTTACTGTATAACTGTTCTCAATTTGTTGTTTAGGATGTCGCTACTCAAATATGCCATATAATACATTTATATTATTTAAATTACAGGATGAGTGAGACAGTGCTTGTTTAAGTGTACATACAGACACAAAGGCAAAAGGGGAATGGTAAAAATCACAAAACTAGGTTGAAATCTGTTGAGTGAATATGTGAATTGGTGATGTTTTTATGCTGTTCGTTTGATCTGTATAAAAACATTTTTACAGCACTTTCCTGCTGTATTTTTGTATATATTTGTCCCACTTTCCCTAGACATTTATGATTATCTGTTGATTTCTTTTCTAGGTGTGTCTGGTTCAGATGGAGTCTCAGTGTCAGTGATGAAGGGAGATTCAGTCACTCTACACACTGATGTTGAAATAAACCAACAAGAAAAGATTCATTGGTATTTTAATGACATTCGCATCGCTTACATTAATGAAGATCTCAGTAATAGCTGTACAGATGTTCAGTGTAATGAAGGTACTGAGAGATTCAGAGACAGACTGAAGCTGGATCATCAGACTGGATCTCTGACCATCACAAACACCAGAACCACAGACTCTGGAGAATATAAACTAGAGATCATCAAAGGCAATGAGAGTGAAACGATCTTCAGGGTTACTGTCATTGGTGAGTCATTATGTTTAAAAGCATGTTATTCATGTTTAAATCAATTACACCCGTGACATTCAAAGCTGTTTTTCCCTTTACCTGCATCATTCAACAGAACAGAATTACTTCTATATGAACAAAGACATATCCACAATTAACTTGATATTTAGCAATTTGGTTTCTCCTGAATTTCTCTGGAAATTAATATGCATAATTATTTTTAGTTACTTTTCGCCCCCAAACGATCCTCCAGCAGCTGTTGGTTTGTGTTTCAGGTGTTTCTGCTGCTGAACGAGATGAAATATGTGTGAAGGAGGGAGAATCTGTCACTTTAGATCCTGATGTAATGAAAAACACAAATGATTCGATGACGTGGTATTTTAACGACACTCTCATCGCTGAAATCACTGAAGATCAGTGTAAGATCGGTACAGATGATCAGTGTGAAGAGAGATTCAGAAACACACTGGAGGTAAATCAAACTGGATCTCTGATCATCACAAACAGCAGAACCACAGACTCTGGACTCTATCAACTACAGATCATCAACAGCAGATTCAGCATCATTAGGAGCTTCAGTGTTACTGTCACTGGTAAGTATCATTTAGTCATTAGAATTTGAGAAACTGACAGTAATTTTAATGTTTTAATGGCTTTATTGACTTTTTGACCAGTGCCTGAAGTGCGTATCCAAATGCTGCAATGATGTTGACTTTGGCCAGCAACAGCCTGTGACGTCACTACAGGTGTGACAGGGTGTATAAAGAGCATTACGCGATAGTGCCATTCAGGCGCCCTGTATAACACGTCCTCCTCTTCTTTGTCTGAATCACACATCCATAGAAATAGCAAAACAAAAACAAAAAAATGTATAGAAATAGCATAGAGAGGCAGAGAACCCATTATGGTTTGCACAAAAGTGAAAAAAAGTGACGTGACATGTGGGCAAGTATGGTGACCCATACTCGGAATTAGTGCTCTGCATTTATCCCATCCAAAGTGTGCACACACACAGCGTGAACACACCCCCAGAGCAGCCATTTTTGTTGCGGCGCCCAGGGAGCAGTTGGGGATTTGGTGCCTTGCTCAAGGGCACCTCGGTTGTGGTATTGAAGAGAGCGCTGTACATTTACTCCCACTCACCTACAATCCCTGCTGGTACAAGACTCGAACCTGCAACCTTTGGGTTACAAGTCCGACTCTCTAACCATTAGGCCACGACTTCCCCAAACAAATCTTGGACTCGAAACAAATATCACTCTATATTACTCGCGGCATGTTTTTTGTGCCACTCGTGCAAATAAAAGACATACTGAGAAGGCTCAGTTGATCTAGCAGCTCACTTGAGTTGGTGACTGAAGAGTAAGAACGGTCTAAGCCCTTTTTAATTTCCACGAGTGCAGTTTCCACTGAGCCTTGGCTTTAGCAGGTTCTGAGCCGGGGGGCTCCAGCGTTTGCCCCTTTTTCTTTGAGAAGAGGGACAAATGCGAACTGAGCTTCTTAAATATATATAGGGTAGGTCATTTCGGAGAGGCTGGCAATAGCAAGCTAGCTTTGAAAGCATAAGATCCCACCCTCCCTGCAAATCACTCTCCAAAGCCACGCCTCCTCCAAAACACATGAACAATGGCAAACGGAGTTGGTGGAAGGTTGAATGCAACACTGTCAGATTACCTCATGTTTCATTCACCGGTGAGAAAACTTTACACTACAAAGCACGTAATATTACCATAATAACGCCTTCCATTCTCGCTCAGTCTGCGATAGCGTAATGGAACGCGCTGATGACGTATCATGTCTGCGCGAACAGGTATGCAAATACATACATTGACGGGCAGGTAGGACAGCCTATCCCAGTCCTCGGACCAAGGGATATGATTGGATGAACATTTTATGGTCCTACGCTTTCCACAGACAATATAAATACATTTAGACCACTTAACTGAGTGATTGCTATCAGGATGTGAAGAGCGAATCCCCAAGTGTCAGATATCACTGGCACACTGGTAATCCTTTATTGTCCTCTAGGGTGCGCAGTGCAAGTTCCCATTCGAAAGGGAATGGACTGTAAAACCTCTTTGTTTTTCAGATTCAGGTCCGCCTTCAGGAATACGCGTAACTGTTTTTCGTGGCGCTATCGACTGTTGGGATTTAATGAAGGAGCTTTACAAAGGGCAAGTATTACAAACAGCTATTATAGTGTGAGGAAAATTTTGTCTTTATTATGCAAAGTTAATGTTTAATTGTCTGTGTGTGATTATTTTAAAAAGGAGACAAGGTGAATAATAAGCTTGGGCATCTGTCAAAAGTCCAAGGATGAGGTAAAACACTGTAGCCTAGCATTGTGAGATTCTCAGCTGTGCTTGATTTCACTGTAGATGTGTGTTTCATGTCATTTATTCAGATATCATTATTCTGCTCTTATCGTTGAAGTCGTGGCCTAATGGTTAGAGAGTCGGACTCGTAACCCAAAGGTTGTGGGTTCGAGTCTCTTACCGGCAGGGATTGTAGGTGGGGGGAGTGAATGTACAGCGCTCTCTCCTACCTTCAATACCACGACTGAGGTGCCCTTGAGCAAGGCAAGTTCTCCCCGGGCACTGCAGCAAAAATGGCTGCCCACTGCTCCAGGTGTGTGTGTGTGTGTTCACTGCTGTGTGTGTGCACTTTGGATGGGATAAATGCAGAGCACTAATTCCGAGTATGGGTAATAGAGATTTCAGACTGACTCTTAATCACTGGCTGATGGCTGGTCTGTTGACTTCCTGTAACTGTAACAGCGGTTCATTCCTCTCTCTGTACTCTTTCCCTACAGATGGGAAAAGGTCACGCTATCCGAGAGGATCCCATGGTTCATGGATCTGCAACATTATTTCCACACTTAAGCTTTAGCTGTTGAGCTGTAACCTAAAGTACTTACTTACTGATCATAAAGCATTTTTACATGTTGTGGAAATAATAACCTACCTGTTACTAGAAGCACATATAATGTAGAAAATTTAGAGCAGAACATTACTAATATTACATAGTAACTGCAGCTTATAAACCTGGAATAATATTATATTTATCATTTAGCATGCTTATTGTTATACGTGCCTTGGTTTATGGTTATGGGTTAGTGAAGTGCTTGTGGAAGTGATGTGCTTTCAGCTGATTCTTGAAGGATGAGATGTTCTCAGCAGATCAAATAAAGGTTGAATGTTTCTGGAGTGAAGCTTCTGAAAGAAACTCGTTGTGATGAAACCACTAGGTGACGCTTATTCACTGTAAAACTTTCTTTATGCATTATTTGTATTCAGTTAACAATAACCTATTTTAGCATTAAGTTGTCTTGATAAATTCATAAAATAAATGCTTTGTGACAATAAGATGGAAACACTCAATTCAGCATTTAACCCTGAATTTACACAGATATAAAAGTGTATAAACCTTTAAGACAAACCTTCCATGAGTTCTCAGGGCATGTCAACATTATTTCGTTATTACATTTACAAAATGTATTAAATGGACAAATTCCATGTGAAGAAGATCTGCGCTACACAGATCTGAAAAAGTACTGTCAGTTTTTAATTGATTTGTCATGCACACCACATCAATGTACTGTATTTGCATACTACAATGTGCAAAGTGTATAATAATTCATACACACTGTTTTGCTTCAAAACAAAGTTTGTATGATTGTGATTCAGCGTGGTGCTGGTTTATTTGGTTCATTAGAGCTCATTAGAATTTGAAATCCTTATGGAGAAAATTAATTGGAAAAATACTTTCATAGTTTATGAATCTGGTTGTCACTTTTGCACTTTATTTGCATGTTTGCATTGTAAGTATGTCATTTTTACTGTTGCTTTTAATAACAGAATGTGAAAAAAAATTAAGAGTCTGCTGTTTTAAATAAACTGCTTGGATGTTATAAGTGATCATTATTTAAGCTAACTATTTTTCAGTGAAAAAACTGCTTGGTAAGCATGAACCAGTTGTATTTTAATATCTTTAGTATACGATTATAGTTGCGATATATATTTTGAATTAAGTTTGATTTTTAATTTGTTTTAATTTTAGTTACATTTTTAGTATATATATATATATATATATATACATATTGTCTTTTTTTCAGTTTTAGTACTTCAATGTAAACTAAACAAAATGTTGCCTTGGCAACTAATTGATAAAAATAAGTTTGTTTTCAGTAAACACCTTCAACACATCCATACTGAACTACACACATAGCCTATGGTAAGTTCATTTCACTAATTAAACCACACATTCAGATGATCAACGGTCTCTGATGTTGGTTAATGGTCATGTGACATGCAAAACATCAAATATTTAATTTCTGCGTTAAATGATTGCAAAAAAAATACAATATTGGATATTTTTGTTAATTAAATTAGAAATGTAAAAATCTAAACATACTGTGTTCATTATATCACTGTCATTTAGTTTGATCTTAGATGTTTGAAATACGTTATTATTTCTCTTTCTCACTTTATTAGACTCTATTTTTGCTTCACATGTAGCTTAGATAGCTTTTCCTCGTGATGCCCAAAAAGCATCATACCTAACGATGTCAAATGTATCTGCGGTTCCTTAAACTCAGCGCTAGATGTCATCAAACCATCATAGACTGCAATATAATATTTCATCTACTCAGATCTGACATCTAAATACAATTTATATAAAATATATAAACCATTAACAAGAGTCTATGATGAGAATAATACGATTCAACAATATGAAACAAATTATAGCCTACTTGTTGATTTTATTGATAATTGTATGTAAATTTGTATTTAAATTTAGATCGTATATATTTTTATCTTTACAGACTAAAACTCCAAAATATGTCACAATCTTTGATATCCGTTTTTGTCTCATCCACTTGTAGATCTGACATCATAAACCAGAAGAGCGACAGTAGCCACGCCCACCAGAGCAGAGAGGACCAATCGGATCACAGCTTCAGTAGAACCACAACAGTGGACAGAGTCTGAGGAATAAACACATCAAACTGAGATCAGCTCAGTCAATAAATGTTAATATCAGCACCGACATCAACTAATATCAGCTGCTGTACCTGAACATGTGTGACAGAGTTGACTGATGTTGAGATGTTTCGTCTGCTTGCTGATGGGATTGTTGAGCACACAGCTGTAGGTGTTGTTATCCTGATATTCCACCTCCAGAGGTAGAGAGAGACTGATGCTGAGATCAGACACACTGATGCTGGACAATAAACTGTTTCCTTTGTACCAGGAGAGAGTCACATGACCCACATTCACCACTGAACACACCAGTGAACAATATGATGATGATGATGATGAACAGTTTGAAGGGTTACTGCTGATGACAGGAACAGGCAGACGAGCTGAAAACAGAGAATAAAGAGAAGTATGGATAATAATAATTAATAGTCTGTCATCTGTATAATAATTTTATAATGTGTGTTATAATGTATGCTAAAAAACCTCTTCTTCGCCATTGACAGAAACATTGAATGTTTTTGATGACAATTTCACTCCATTTATCTCTAGTTTATAAACTCTGGCATGTTGAGTTGTGATGTTTGTGATGGTCAGAGATACAGTCTGATCGTCCAGCTTCAGTCTGTCTCTGAATCTCCCATCAAGAACATCATCATATGTGGAGGAGATTCCAGCTGTTCTATTGAGTTCATCTATCAAAGACTTTTCTGCTCCAAATTTCCACGTTATGTCGTCGTCTTCATGTATTTCAGTAACATCAGTGCGTAGAGTGACAGAATCTTGCTCCATCACTGACATTGACTCACCAAACATGGACTCTTGTTAGTTGACTTATGCTGGGTACACACTTAAGCCGGGCTCACACTACAGGAGTTTTAAAAATCCTAACCGATTATGAAATCTGGTTGCAGCACACACATAAGGTGAATCTTTGCAGATTATCTTCCCTCAAATCTTAAAGATGCACACACTACAAGATATTATTAAGATTATCATGCCAGAGGGAGCACCTCACGTGATCTCACACAGCAGATCGTCATTGATATTTCAGTGATGTTTACATTAGCTAGCACGCTAGCTACTTTCTACACACATTCAAACTGAGGCGATTTCACTCCAGGGCTTCTCTTTCTCCTTACGTTTGTGATACGTTTTCAACACATTATACAGACAGTCGTGTTACTA